AGTGGTGGCCATAGAGGGGCCAGAGGGGGCGGCGGCGCCGGCGCCGCCGGCACTGGCAGCGTAGGAGGCGGAGGAAGGCGCGCTTGAACTCGCGGCTGGAGCACGGGTAGATGAGTGGGTTCACGCAGCTGTTGAAGTAGCCGAGCCAGAAGATCACCTTGAAGACGCCCTCAGAGGGCTTCAGCTGCGGGAACAGGGAGCCTGTGGGGAGCAGAGACCCACGTGAGCGAAATGCTCGGGGAGGAGGAGGCCCAGGCAGCCCCTGGGTGCGAAGGGGCAACCCTCCCCGCCCTCCAGGGCCCTGGCTGAGTCATCGACTAGAGGATCTCTCAAGGTATCGCTCCCCAAGGGGTCCCTGATATAATTTGAGAGGGTCCATGAACTTGGATGAGGAAAAGCGGTCATCTTCAGTTTTACTCACATCTACCTGAAACTGAACATTTCCTTCAATGATGAATGTAGGCAACAAACAGTAGAACTAGGCAAAATCATATGAAATCACCGTTTTTGTAGCTCAAAACTGGTGCAATATTGGCAGTTTCGTACGGTTCAACCTAATGTTAGCAGGTCCTGCAGATAGTTTTCTATCACATTCGGTTGCTGCAGATGTGAAATATTGTCTGTGCTCCTCACTACGTGGAGATGACTGTCATTAGAACACAACAATAGATCTTGTTATTTCATGCCTTAATGTAGAAGCACGTTTATTACTAGATCACGAATTATGTTTTAAAATATTTGACCAGGGTTTCAATGAAATCGGTTTCATTTGTAGTCCTCTATATTTTGTGCATTTGCAAGTGTGACTCTGAGAAGGGATCCTAAGTAGTCCTTGGCACAAAAAGAGACAAGGACCCCTGATAAATGTTGAGCAAGGCTCACCCCATGCCAAGCACTGTGCTGGGCTCACATCAACCATTGTCCTGTTCCCTTGCTGGCAATGTGAATCAAACACCACGGGAACACAGGTGGGGCGATGCTGGTGTTCGGCACATGGGGTGGGGGGCTTCTAGGGGTCTCAGAGGGTAGATAGAGGCCAACCAGGATGAGGAGGGGCAGAGGGTGTTAGGAGTGGAAGGGACAGATGGGCGAGAAGAATAACGTCTGGGGTCTGGGAATGTTGTATAGGATATACCAGCAAACTTCACTGGGACAGATGGTGAAGGGCCTTAAATGCTGGGAAGTTTGGCTTTTATTCTGTGGGCAGTTAAGAGCCATGGCTATTTTTTAAGCAGGAGAGGGATAAGGCCTAGAATTAAGCCTCAATAAACACAATGACCACGGCTGTCAGAATGCAGGACAGCGGGGCTGCCTCAGTGAAGTGGTCAGGGAAGGCATCTGGGATGGCTTCAAGGGAGCGGTGCCAGGCAGGTGGGGATGGGGAGCAATGGGTCTAAGCTGTGCCAGGAAGACCTTTCTCTCCACAAACCTTTCCCCTGGCATCTCCACCATGGACTGGAAAGGAGTCATGTCTCCAAAGCACTGGGACAAAACGCAAAGGCATGATTTAGGATGCAGAGGCCATCTCAGCCTCATTCATCCTCAGCAGCAGGAGAGGCAGAGGGTAGCTGGCAGGAGCGTGGGTAAAAGATGCAGGCACCCAAGAGCCTGAGCAGGCCAGGGGTAGGGGTCCTTGGCAAATCACGGGACATGTTCTTTCTTCCCTTGCCCCAAAAGAAATAAAAGCGGGGTCTCCTACTGAGGGGGCAGAGGCACCATGCCCCCTCTTTGATGTGGAGGCCCTTACTTATCACCCACCTCCCCCCATACAGAGAATCCCTGGAGCGAAGAGACACTGCGGAGGAAGAGGAAGGTCATACAGCATCGTTGGGCACAGGCCTTTCAAACCTTGGTCACACTGCCCTGAACAAGTCATTTGGCTGGCCATTTAAGTTTTGCTTTTCTTTTTTGTGAAATACAGACAATATTTCTCTGGCAGGGATTTTGTGAAGATTCATAAATTTCAGGGTCTAGCACTTCACAGGTTCTTAATAGATACTGCTGTCTATTTACTCTCCTCTCCCTATTTCTGTGGCTTTTGAGAGAGGAGAGGTCCACTTCCCAGCTCTGGAGAGTGGCCAGAAACAGAAGCTGAGACCTGGTGGGTGTGGGGGAGGCTGGGGCATCAGTCAGGGTGTGTTGAGGAGACAATATCCCCTGAGAGAGGAGTTGGGCAGTTGTCCCTGGAATGTGGGGGCCACCAGGGTTGACCTCAGCCTCCAAGAAGGCGGCCCTCGGAACAGCATCCCTCAATGGCTGCAAAGACAGAGTACTGAAAATAACTTTCTGACTCAGGCCCCAATTTTTTATATTTAGCCCAGAATGACAAATCAGTGGACTATGCTTTCAGCGACAAGACCGAAGCCAGCCAAAAGGCATTGTTATCAGCCTGGGTTCGATTCGGATTGGTGGGCAACATGGCACATTGTATGGCCTGGGCCTTTTTGTAAACATGAATATTCTAATTTATGCTCAACGAAACTGTTCAGAAGCCTGCTGCCAGCTGGGAATTCCTTACACACAACAGAGCTGGGATTCAAGCAGCCTTTCGGCCCCCCAATTTTCTTACTGTGTCCTGCCGACATTTTCTGTCTTACTTTGGGCCCTCCCAGAAGCAGACCCTGAGACAAGGATTCAAATGTAAGTTGTTAATTTGGGGGGGTAAATGAAATACCAGTAGTGGAGTGGGAAAGAGAGACAGGAAAGAGAAGGAAGCCAATAAAAGGTGTGTTAAGGAGTTGTCATCACTGTGGGAGACTGGGGCTTAATCCCCCTGGGAGCTCTGTGAGACAGTGGAGAACAGGAACCTGAGTTATCCCCGCTTCCCCACTGGGGCGAGGGAGGTGGGGAATCTATACGCCCACTCCCGTAAGTCATTAATTAATTTTCCACACCTCCTGCCTGCCGCATGAGTAGACAAGCAGGATTTTGGTGGGCAGAGAAAGCCCCTAGGCAAAGTGACAGAGCCAGGTGCTCAGGTGGAAGTTAGCCCATTAGCGCACTGAAGGTCTAAATGAGATGGGTGAGGCACCAACAGCATCTGTCACAACTTTGCTTCATTTGCTCTCTGCCCACTGCACAGACATCTTGCCTGGAAAATACAGACGTCTGTGCCTTGGGCTCCAGCTTCCAAATAGCAGCTCCCAAGAGACTTTTCCTATTCCCTTCATAGATGGCAATTTTGAGCCTCGCACCTACCTCTTCCCAGAGTACTGTGGTCTTCCCACACCTCCCTGAACCCTGCCTCACTCTCCCTGCCTCCCTCGCCCCCCATCATTCTTTCATTGGCCCACGGTCTCTTGCAAGGATCTCTGGGGAGGGGGTTGCAAGTGAGCACTTCCCTCCCTTTGTGTGTTATGGAGGAGATGGGGAACTGCCCCGAGACCCCTGAGGATGGGCACTTGGCTACTAGGCACTCCCTGCAATGCTGCCGTGCTGTGGGGGCATCAGTGGGCAAGCTCCTTCTCAGCCATTCCCGGCTTGCTCCTCCCCCAGCCACTGAGTAATGGCTACTCGTCGACCAGCTGCCTTGCTCGTCTTCCCTCCACATCCCTCTCCAGCTGCCCAGCACACACCTTTGCCAGCCCGTGTACCACAGATGCAGGAAAGCCTCAATGGGCAGCTGGGGGCTCTGAGACAAAGCCACTCTCCCTTAGTCCCTGGCACCCACTTTTCTGCCCTGAGCTGGCTTCTTCTCCTACTCCCCACATTGCCCACATCCTTTCTCGCCCAGCTGTGCTTACTCATCTTGGCAGCTGTCATTAGAACCAGAGGCTCTCATGGAAAGCCCTCCCTCAGCCCCACCCCCCATCCAGGTGCTCAGCATCACCCCCACATTCTCCTTTCTCCTGCTCTTCTCTCCGCAGTCTTACTTCTGTCTTCTGTCTCCATGTGCATCAGCTAAGTGGCCACACTGACTTCTCGCTGCCCTCCGGCCACAGTGGGCTCCTCAGTCTTGCCTTTGGGCTTTTGCACATGATCATTCTGGATGCCCTTCCTTTGCCTCCACCTGGTACTGCCAGCTCCAGCGGCACCTCCTCCTGGAGGCCTTCCTCATACCGCCCCCTCCTGACCCAGCAGTGTTAGTGGTACTCCCTCCTCTCTGCCAGCACATCTACTCACTTCTAAGTGCCAAGAACCCTGCAGGTAACTCTTGGTTTCTTGTCTATCTTCTCCTTAAATGGTAAGCTCCTCACATCGCACTTGGCACATGGTAGGTGCTCGATGCATCCTGACGGCTCTCTATCACATCCCGCATCCCATCATCGCCAAGTCCCACAAACTCCTCACTTCGTACCAACCCTTGTTACTGCCTGGTCCCAGCTGCCATCATCATCTACCTACAGTGCCCTTCCACGTGGGCTCCTGCTCCTGTACTTGTGCCCTCGAACCCTGTTCTCCACACAATAGCCGGGGGATCCTTTTAAAACATACGTCTGAGCATTTCATTTCTTTATGTAGAACCCATCTCCATGCTGACTGCGGCCTCCTGTCCTCTCTCATCTGTACTTTGACCTTCTGCCAGCCCCTTGGTTCTCTCCTATCATCTCCTTCTGTCTGCCTCCTTCTCAGCTTAGCCGAGACTCCTACTCGCTCGCACCTCAGCCATTCTCAATCCTCCCACAACCACGTCCTTCTGGATTTGGGTTGTCCTTCTCCATCCGGGTCCACCCACTCCCGGAACATGCTTACGGTCCCTGACCTCAGCTCAGTGTCCTGTGTTTCCAGCAATCTCACCGTCCATCCCCGGCCCGCTCCCTACTATTCCTGCACCAGCTCCTTTAAGCCCTGACTCCTCTCTACAAGCCTTGCAGTCACCCCTTCACCTTTTCCAGAGCAGCTGACCTCATTTCCTTTTTACGGAGAAAACAGAAGCCAAAGAAGTTAGGGACCCGCTCAAACCTTCACCTCTCTTCTTGCTTGGTAAGATAGGAGTCTCTCCTCCCACCCAAGGCCAGTGTCCCTGTTTGTGTCATGGAGCTCTCGAGCCATCCGTCACCCACGTGCTCGCCCTCATTCTCTCCACCCTTTCCATCCACGACTGCTGTCTCCTCTTCCCTAGCTGCTTTTCACTCCACTGCTTTGCCCCATAGCGTACCTCACTTGGGCCCCCAACCTGTGGACACCTGTCACCTCACTGTGGCTTTCAGGGCATCGCTCTCTTGGATTTTGTATGCGGCTTCTTCCTCACGACCCCACTG